CCCCCCCCCCCCCCCCCCCCCCCAAATTGAGAACTTTATAAGGACGTTGTTCTGCCAGTATGTGGCACGTAAACACACTTTTTCCCACCCCCCCCCCAGTGTGAAAGCATAGTGGAGGACTATGAGGATGAAATCATCTCGCTCTTCACGCAAGGGGAGGACCACGTGGTCGACACATTGTGCAGCAAACTATCAGGTGCGTTCCTGGGGGTGGGCCAGGCTTTTACAGAAAAACACTCACAGAAATGCCCCACACAGCGTCTGACATTCACTCATTCATTCATTCATTCATTCATTATATATATTTTCAAAGTGTTATTGATGAAATGGAACTTGTGTGGCAATCTGACACTACTTGGTTGTATTTAAAGATTTGTCCAGTTATCCACTGTGAAACCAAGATGGCTACTGCTAATTGTTCTTCTTTATTATTAATGTGTCCCGCTTAAATTTATCCGAGCCATTTTAAAGTTTTACAAACATAGTACGCTAATAATTATTGGGTTTTTGCTTGCTCTTAAAACGGGTGAGTATTTTAACATTTTTTTTATCAGAGTATTCTAAATACCTGATTACTGGTAGACTTCTATGATATTTCCCAGTTCAGCTGAAAATGTGTCTGTTCCCATATTCAGGTCACTGCAGAAGTGCCTCATCCTCTCGCGCGGAGCTGTAATCCAGCTGATAACGGCGAAGTCGAAATAAGAACAAAAAATCCAAATATCATAACCATTCTCAGACTTAAAAAAATTGCTGGAAAGTATAACTTTGAACTTTTTGTTTTGAACTATTTTTGAATATTTTAATAATAAAGTTTCTATTTAAAGAAACTCCTGTATGTGTTCAATGGACCCTGTCTTGCACTGATCAGGTTTGCAGTATCAACCTTTAAAAAAAAAAAAAAACCTAGAACAATAGCAGTTATGTTTACAGTATTAACACTGATTCGACAGCTTGCGAAGATGATTAATGCGAATCAGAAGCTGTTACCTGTAGAAGTGTTCAGGTCTCGGCACGGCATGCACGTGCAGAGAAGGATCGGGACATGTTTTTAGCACTGACTGAATTACTTCTGTACTATCGAGTATCGAAAAATGTCTTTTCATTCCACACCACTTTTCGATACCTAAAGAGTAAATCTCATTGACACGCATAGTGAAAAATGCACTGATATTAAACAAGCATTTTAACCTGAAAAATCTTCCACCAAATTTGGTTACTACGATGCGTATTTTGTCATAAATGGCAGGTCTGCTGTAGTGATAATTGCTAAGAGAATATTTCGCAAACTGCGATTAACTTGCAGCCTAATGTGCCAGTTTCACTCATAAACATTTTGTAGGTTGTGTGTGAGTAGTTAACCCTTAATGGGCTCTTGGGCTACTCGGCCTTTCAGGTGAAACCAAACCACATTCTGCATTGTATGCAGTGGTTCTACATCTTAAAGGAACAGTATCACAATAAGATGAACCTGTTATTTTTCAAACTTCTTTAGTGATCAGTTGAACCCAGATGATGCTAGCCTACATTTCTATATATATTAATAATGTTTTTTTTGCAAATCTACAAGCAAACAGATCTTTGTTTTTAAAGTGTGTACCATTTGACCACATTTATGCTGTTGTGTTTCTATGATTCATGCGATTTTATGCAGGCATTGTGAGGCAATAGGTGAATTGCTGACAGGAAAAAACAGGGAAAAACCCATATTGTGTTTTTTTTTTTTGATTGGCATAGCCAAAGAAACTTAAGCTAATAAATAAATTATAGATTGGTGCAAGCATGTTTTTTTTTTTTGTAGAAATTTCTCAGCCGTTTTGTAACAAAACTTATTACGTAATCATCTTTGCATTTGTGACTCTGCCATCTGTGTACAGAGAGGTTAAAGAACCCGGAGTCCTTAGCAGAATTAATGCATTCATTCATTCATTATAACTAATGTTTCTGTTCAACTCCTCTGTATGCTGTTTGTGCTATATAGCTGTTTGTGCTATATAATATATACACACACACACACACACACACACACACACATATACCCTGCCAGCACCAATGCTAGCCCAGTGAGCTCCTTTACTTTCTTAAACTTAATTAAAATGTTTCTTATGTTATGAGTGCATAAAAAGGCCAGCAAGCTGAAAATTAAAACATGAGATTATAACCTTCTTTTGGTTAAAAATTTTAATTTCCTAAAATCTGTATCACAAAAAGTATCATTCAGGACCCGGTATGAAAGTCAAGGTACTGTTACTGGTACTGGTATCGAAATCTGACCGATACCCAGCCCTTGGCAGGGAAGGGGATCCTGTATCCCGAAAGGGGGCGGAGCCAGCGGCCGAGAGCTTTGCACGACGATGTCATCCGCTCATCATGGATGTCCAGTTAAAAGCCACTCTTCCTTCTCGTGGTTCAAAAGGTTTCTCATTTAGTGGAAAAATACTTTTGTTTTTTTTCTCACCTCTTTCAGTCCTACATCTGCAGAGTAATTTTTTAAAATGTACTTTTGAAATGTGTATTTTTAGATATTTATTTTGCGAGTAAATGCATTTTTTTTTTTGAAAGCACTGCTGCAGAATACTTAAAGGAATCTATATGGCTGTGTCACAGACTTTTACGTAATATTCCGCACTAAGAGAACGTAAAATGCAAGTCACCGCGTGCCTACAACATAGACTATTTGCTTTCATTTCTCGTCCTGTCATCCTGAGTACTGAACTAATTAATCTAAATCGGAGACCTACTTCTGAATGTTGTATAGATTCATCATTCTGAAATATCACGCCTACATATACATTTTAATTACAAGCTCTCTAGTTCCGTATAACTTGAATTTGCCTCCTGTAAGCAGGCCTGCAATGGGACTGATGCTTAGTGGTTTATGCCAGTTTTTTTTTTGTCCAGTACTATGCTCATTTACACAGTGGTTTGTTAATTTAATTTTGACCAGCTCGTAGATCTATACACCCCCCCCGTCTACCATAAAGTATTGAGTGTCCCTCCTCACACATATTTTATTTTAACTAGATCTCATAGAGCTGTGTTCTCTCACCGGTCCCATACAAATGTCCCTGGGTCTCCAGCTACCTAATCTGATGCTTCTTTCCTCCTGTTATAACTGGGGGGAAAAAATCACTTATTTGACCGAAATACTCCACCCTTTGGTCAAATTATCTTATTTGTGTTTCCCACCTTTATTAATTTTACACTATCTGCTGTAATCATAAATACTGTTTATTTTTTTTCTGCCAGTAATCCTTTGAAATGTTTTGGTAATCAGGTGTCTGTTCGCTCCAGGCCATTTCATCAGCTCTTTGTCTGCCTCCAGTTCATTACGGCGTTCGTTAATTGGCTTGGAATGACTGTTTAATGGCTGCGACTCCAGGACCAAATATACACATCTCTGAAGCGTCTCCGTCCCAAGTCTCCAAGGTGCCCCTTTACAAGGAGCCCATCGGTGTCCTTTCCAGTCTTTGTCCGCGAGACGCCTGCTATTCTAACCCTGCAGGTGTCTATCCTGCAAAGTCGGAAGAGCAGGTCTCTCAGCCGTCCCTTCCTGCTGTCGTTCATCGATAAAACTTTAGCTTTTCTTCAGTTCTGTAAGACTTGATCCATTTGTGTTTGTCAATAATACGCAGTATGAAGGAAAGCCCTTGTACTTCATCTAACTTTAGCTGGACTTTGCATGTAAAATGTCATTTTTGTTCATTCTTTCCTAAAGCCGGTCAAGACAATCTTCTGTATCCATAAGTTCTCTGTATTCCCACAATGGATGATCAGCCAAATGGCGGCTGCAGATGCTCCCAACTCCAGCATTCCAAACAGTTGGGGATAACCGGCCCCTTATTGAGTGGTGTTAAAACACTCTTCCTTTTGACTGTCATCCCTTGATGTACTCTGCTGTCGTTGATGCGTTACCTCTACGCACAATTGCCTTGTGTTTGTGTGCTGCATTACTGTCTCTGCCCTAAGGGTTATAATTATCATGTGATTTTTTCCAGTCCATCTTCACTTCAGGCATTGACCATAAATGAAATAATACATTTACACTTTAAATTTTATTTTACTGATTCACAGATTCTTCGTTCAATTTATTGTGCTGGTATATTTAAAAAGGAATATCTCTCATATTTCCGCACAGCAGGCTTACGTCAATGTTGTTCTGTACTACTTCGTGTTGTAGTATTTCATTGTTCTTTATCATAATGGAAGTAAATAAATATTGTGATGTTTGACATTTTTTAAATTATGACTGAGGTTTAAATAAATCCTGCAGGAATGTGGATTTTTATCAGATTGTCTGACTACAGAATTATAATATTTTCCTTTCACGCAGGAGCATTTTAATCGTTTAGTATTTTGCCCGGTGAAATGTATTATCTTCAGGAGAGTGATTTATTTTACTATATTGCAGAAAATATGAAGTGTGTGTTATACTGTTATATAAAAAAATAGATTATTCTAATTCTTGAATAAATTCCAAAATGTAACATTTCTTAAAACGAACTTTTGTTATATCCTGAGTGAAATTACATTTGTTAGAAATTTTTTCCCTTTTTCACCAGAGCACAGTATATTGGTTTTCTGCTAAGACCATCTCAGACAGAATAATTAAAAATCCAGGTCATGCGTCTGCATATGTGGGTGAAGTTTGCTGTATAAAATAACTGGGTGAGAATGTGGATGTTCGTTTTCGGTAACGTGGTACATTGTTTTTCTAAACGATAGGTTTAATTTTGGCTGCATAGTAAAACAGATAATAACCTGCCAATTTTTTCCTGTAGGATGACTGTTGAATATGACATATTTTTCACTACTTAAATATTTTACTTTTATTATGTATACTTTCTAAAAGGTGAAAGAAGTGACCTCACATCTCCATGCTGCTGCTGCTGTTGTTTTTTTATTTATTTTTTAGTTGTTACATTTATTACGTTTATGCTGATATTTTGAGAAGTGCTGTTCAGCTACTCATCACCTACACATCAGCTACACATAATTCCCCGGTGCAAATCCCCACAAAAAGTGCACAAAACGTTGACATGTAAAATTGTGAAAAGTGCTGAGCTGGAGAGCCACACTTTCATCTGACAGAATCCTATAAGTCTTAGATCTCTTTCAATGATTTAACTCCTCAACTACTCAAAGACAACAATTACACACCATGCTAAATGAGTTTAGACAAGAGCTGCATTTAACAGAAAACTGCTCCAAACAAATAGGGAACCCTGTTTTGACAATCACTTGGTAAAGAATAAATTCTAGACCACACTGTCTGTAAAAATGCTTGGTTTGTCTCCTCTTCTCTGTGTACATCCGATGATTGTGATGTTTATGTCCTAAGGCTGCCAATGTAGGGCTTTTTTTTTTTTTTTATTGCTGAGCAAAATATTTTCTTAGACTTTGTGAATTTCAGCTTTTGCGACTGATTTTTGACAAATTATGCTTGTGAAATTGTGGCACCTTAGAGAGAAGGAATATACAGACACACACTTAAAACCTAATGAATTCTTCTGCTGCATCAGGCTGTTGAAATGAGTTTGCTACTGACTCAGGAGTGTATCTGTTCTCCTTTGTGTGCCTGACCGTCTCTGAATGCCCAGGGTCTGAGCCTATATACATGACAGATCAAGGGTTGCCAAGGTGCTGGGGCGCGGGACTCAACGAGGCAGGACAAACCAGGCAGCTAAATACTCATTTCCTATGCGTGTCAGGTGCCTTCCAGGGGATTCGGGTGAGGTCGCTGACTCGACTTTTTTTTTTTTTTTGTAAAACTTTTTTTTGCGCAGTGCATGACCGGGATTGCAGACAGTTTTGCTAAATAAATTAGTAACTTAGAGTCAGCAAGAGTGCAGACGTAACCCCCTATTCACAAACTGGCGAGTGGATCTCTCCACTCTGACAAGGTTCAACCACTGAGCTACAGCATTAACTTGTATTCTAACAAGATTAAAATATATTTGTCCTGGGGATTAGCATACTTAAATGGCCTTTGCTTTTTCGGTGGTGGCAGTGGGCTTTGATCTACGTTGCGTGGCAAGACGGTGTCTTGGACTCGGCCATTCGAGTGCCAAGTGTGAAATTAGCCTGATGTCATCCCCATTCTTCACCTTTTACATCTTTCACCAGTTTAATCATATTTCCGCCACAAAGCTCGGCAGCTTCATTGCATATTCAAGTTTGACTAGGAAGCATTTTGAAACTATGGAAAATGACTCCGTGGGGGTAGAGGACAGGACAGCCTATTGTGTGCGGAGTACACAAGAGATGTCAATACGTTCCTGATATATATAAATCCTGCCTGACTTTCGCCTTCGGTCGGTGTCGAAGTTAAAGTTGAGTCGGTGATGGCGCGGTTGTGCACCGCAAACGCTCCCGCCACTGATGCGTTTGTGCGTTTTAAGTGTCTCACACGTGGCGTGAAATTTCCGGGATAAAGTTTCCTCGTTTCCCTGCACGTGCTTTGCTGAGGCTCTCTATGCTGAATTTTATTTTCAGCAATACTGGGGGGGAAAAAACCTTAGTAAGAAAAACGGTCTAAATCGCAAAAATGGGTGAAATGTAAGACCACTTAATTTACATTTCTCAAGATTGGGCGAAGTTAAATTCCACACTGTTAAGTTATTTGCATAATTTATTATTTTGCTCCGAACACTCAAATTGTTACTCATTAACGTATGGGTACTTTGAGGTTTGGTAAAGTCCTGAGGACGGGAGTCTTTGGAGGTTGGAAAACTTGGGAAAATGCCGAATTAATGAGATTCCTTTAAGGACGAGCTGAATTCAGAGGTGCGGCAGTGCACTGGCAGAGGAAACGAGCCACCTGCAGCTGTGACAGAAGGCTTTGACCTTCATCGGGGTCCCCCGGACACAGACGCCTTTCAGGGGCAGCGTAGAGTGTCTGAGAGGCAGCGCCCTTTCTCTGCCGCGAGCTCATCAAGTCAGTGACCGTTGGGCGTTACTTCCACATACAAGCTGCGCAAGAAAAGAAATGCAGATGAGTTTCATTCGCATTGAAGAGCAGGTCAATGCTGGGAAGGGTCGTCACAGATAGCCTCCTTTTGTATCATCGCTTTTCTGTTGGAAACTTTAAGAAAAAGTGTTTAGACGCATCAGGTAACACGTGTGCAGAATCTGCGGATCGCTTTTAACGCTTATAACATGGACTCAAATTCATGGCGCAATATGTAATAACCGGCAGTCTTCGGTCAGACACAACGTCAATGTTTATGACGTATTTAGCAGGATATATCTGTTTAAAAATATGCGACACGCTTGACTTCGACTGACTTGCATTCATATTTTAAACTTCACAATCAATTCGACTGGCGCTTTCTTCCTTCTGTGGGGAGAAAAAGATCTATTGACTAGGGTCCTTACGAATAATAAGGTCACCCTTTTTATAAATATTTTTTTAATTATAATTTTTTAAAATTCTGCAAGATGAAAATCGTATGTGGTGCTTTTACGGGAATTATTAAAATAAAAATAGGAAATAAAGTGCCCATTTATATTAGGTTATTTTTTATATATAATATAACCTATAATACAAATATCGCAGTTAGGCCTATGTAGCCTATTCTGGATTCTTAATTAGCTCTAAATGAATAGCCGCGTTGCTTATTTAAATTTTAGATATAATACAGAAATATTTCAACATATGATTTCGAGTGTTTGTCTTTATAAAAAATTGTGAAACTTAATTTATACATCACTAAGCAAGTTCATTCAGCTTTCAAGCTAGACGCTGCTAGTGTTTTTCTTTTGTAACATGTAAGTAAAACTATTTCTCAATACTGGCTTTATTTAGTTCTTTAAATAAAAAGAATGAAAATTTTTACAGCTGACAAGACAACCGACGAAGGTCGCTATGGTATATTATGGTATAATTCTGCTGTCATAATAAAGCAATTGGAACGTCTTTTGTGTCCATTCAGTGCAAAATTGATGATTTTGCAGAGAAACGCTTTAATTTTCAACTTTTTAAAATGTTTGTCGGCCTATTGTATAAGAATATCACTATGTGTCAAAATACGGCAGTACAAATTATCCCTACGTAAGCGATTGTATAGCCTAGTCCCGAGGTTTCATTTAATCGTGCTATGCGTCAAATATCATGCCTGTCTATTGCATTAGAACTTACTCAGACCCACCCCTGAATATCGCGTTAATTGCACCGTCTTAGTAGCACTCTAAAATGTATTTTTCGTAAAATTTCTGAAGCATGTGATGACGCTAATCAACATATAATAGTCATGCTTTGTGCATTAAATTTGTTTTTCTTGTATTCATTTTTGTAGCTATAGGCCTATATTGCGAAATAAAAAAATATTGAAAAACGCAATTAGTTCTGTAAACAAACACAAGGAAATTTCGGTAAACTGGAAAACCTTCAATATGGATTGGACATGGATTTGAATAAATGTTATCGATTCCATCAGACAAATAAGTGCAAAAGCTTAGCGGTTTCACAAAAATGTCATATAGGCCCTGCGAACTAGGCTATATTTATTGGCTAATTTATGGATTGTTTAGCTATGTACCCATAGCCTAGATAGCGCAAACATAAAAAACCCGAACCAGCAAACATGGAAAAATAATAACGCATTTTCGGCCATCTGTATGATGTTTTGTTTCAAAATCTGAAGATTAATAACCATGAGGCGCTGAATCAAGCAGCACTATGATCACAGGGTTTCAACGATGATGTAAACAAACATGACGTCATTTCCGCAAAGCTCTGCTACACGGGAACTTTCATACTTTCGGGTTTTCTTCTATATCTAAACAAGCAGGATGCTGCTTGTGCCTTCCTAGAGTTGCTGTACAGATTAACGAAACCTGTCTCACATATTTGAACACATACTCCTGGATTTTATCGATAATAAATAATGATCAGCTTTGAAGAAGAGTCCCTTCGAGGTTTATTTTTTTTTCTTCCAGTCATCGAGAGGCAGTTAAGTACAGTTAAACATTATACAAATTATATACATTTGTATTATATGAAAGGATACTTCAAATCATAACCACATAAAATTCAGTTACATCGCAGATATTTCCCCCATCTCGTCCTTCTTTTACATTTATAAACTTTACTTTTGAAAATTCATTGTGTTGTCTACCTGCTTGTAAAGGCAAAATTCCTGATACAAACAAAATGCTTATTTCGGTACCATAGCACACAGTTCTGAGAAAAAAAAAGTTCTGTTTTGAACTTTTAAGGCAAGTGTGTTCAGTTTGGTGGATTTGAATTCATACACACTTTAACTATACAGTAAAACACAATTCACAGGAACGAAATTCCATAATTTGGTATACGATCTGCAACTTAGTATTTTATGATTTTGAATCTAGGATCATAAACACGGTTATCTGTCCAGATTTCACAATCTTCAGTTTTCATGCAAAGGCCCCAGAAAGCGTTCCATTCGCCAAACGAAGTTATTGCAAGACACACAGGCAATCTAAACACCTCGTGATCTACTCTCAGGAAGCAACGCCGGTTATTGGATAGTTTCAATATAATCTGTATGAATAAAACGGCATGTCACGATTTTGCCAACAACAACAGCATTTAACACCATTGTTACAAACTAGGGTGATTTTGATGCCTGTATTTATACTGTTTCATATGTATACTTCTATATATTTGTTATTAAAAGTTGTTTTTTTTTTTTTGCACAGATTAAATCGCGTAACGTTTGCTCTGAAGAAAAAGATACCGTTTTTTTTTTTTTGCTTAAAAAATCAATCCCGTCATATACTGTATAAATAATAACTATTTTAAAAAGTCTTACAAAAAGGTTATATTGCTCTTGCATAAAAACTATATTTTGATGATAGAAGCCTTGGAAAGTATGCAGATCAAGTACAAAATGATTTCAGTTTGGCTCGGAGAAGGTCATTAGATATCGGGTTCTCTCCGCTGCGTCAGTAATGTAGAATATGGTTCGGTAACTTTGTATAGCTGCTGAATTAGCCAAAAGTACAGCTGCCAAACTTTTATGCGCTCCGACTTAGAATTCATTTGTAGCCAATATATATTTTTTCAGGAAATCAAAGTATACTCCATGAATATAATTTTAAAAATGAATTGTTTTCTGCTCTTGTGTGGACATAAATACAAATTTTAATCGAGACTCAAAAAACAGACACTTCGTTTAACACTACATGGAATAGCCAACGAAGTCGTTCCAACCAGCCAAACATAACAGCGGAATATAAAACAAACAAACAAACAAACATGGAAATAAAATATATCTTAACAATCAGCAATTTATTTCGATTCACAGTTGCCTGAATGCAGCAGAAAAATCTTTGGACTTCAGCAAATTGGTATTTAACTTTTTAACTGTCAAATTTGTCTAAATGTCAAGTACCCATGAGAAGCGATTGTTAGAAAGAAACTTAACTGAAAAAAAGCTTTTCCCAGTAATGGCGTCTAAAGTTTAACGATGAAAACGTCGATTTATAAGACTCGAAAGCGACTCTTATTCGTAAATTATATATACACAATATTGCAGAATTATATCTAATACATATATTTCAAAACATAAATGCTGGTATGTTTTATACACTGGCCCTTGTTATTTTTTACGAAATTATTGCATTGTATATTTTCTGTTGTTGTCCGCCGTTAATCGCTGTCTGATTTGTCGTCTTTTTCTGTGGTGGCGTGATTGTAAAGTCCCTGCGCCATCAAGTGCAGGGCCAAAGTGTTCTTGTTTCCCGTGGCTTTTTTAATTTTGGCTCTTTTGTTCTGAAACCAGATTTTGATCTGTGACTCGTTAAGGCCGAGTTCCTGCGCCAGGCTCTGTCTCCTCTGTTCTGTCAGGTACCGGTTCGTTTGAAACTCAGCTTTTAGTCTCTGCAGTTGTTCGGCAGTGAAGGCAGTCCGTGGTCGCTTGTCTTCCTTGCTGGCGGATTTCTTCTTTGGTTTGCGAGACCTCGGTCCTAGGGGACACAATACAATAAATATAAGGCCTAGATTAGATTCTACAGGGCGTACCGTAGCTTTCCGTTAAATTCTTCCGTTGAATTGAGTACAACTCGTCACTATAACACTATAGAGATCATGCCGTGTACTACTACCAACCCTTAAGAGTAATATACAAAAAATATTTTTAATATCCTCGTTCCTCTTAACACACGAGAGTATGTTCTTTTAAATAGGGCATTCGTTTACAATGGAGAGAGAGCGACATTCTGATTTAATAAGGACAAGTATAGCGAAACGATGCAGAATATATGTGAATTTACTGGGTACGTGGAAGCACACATTTAACATTCTGCCATTTTGAAATCGAATTATATTTGTGTGGGCGAGTTTGGGCGGTACAGGTTTCGGTGGGGGTGGGGACATGTGTGTTTGTATGTAGACCCGGCGGGCGGTGATGGGGGGGGGGGGGGGTGAGCGTGAGGCACCCCTTTCTCCTCGTCTCTGTAACCATAGGAACTAAATTCATAAGCAAGTTTTTCATGTACTTAAAAACTACATAAAACGCAAACAAACATGCATGGACAAAATATATTTTCACACAAACCGTTTATATATCAAATAAAGTTTTGAAAATTAAGCTAATACTAAATCATTCATCATTAATAATTTTGCTGTTGTTTATTGTTAAATGTCCTACGTAGAATATGTTTTAGCAGCTCCAGGAAAAAGTAGCTGCTATTAATTAGGCCCACGTTATTCAAAACATCGTCAGATTTTGGTCAATACTGCAAGCTACTCTTGCAGACCGAGATGTAATTCTTAATATGAAACGGTTCTTTGTTGAGCAGGAACTCTTTGAAAAGTAAATGTAAAACAGAAATAATTCGAATAAACAGAGAAGCAATGAAGTTCTTTATTACTTTAAATGTAGTAAGGACGGCAGTTAAATAAAGAAATGACGTTCACACATTTTTACCTTTTCCGGACATTAAATAGGCCTACATTTAAAAATATAAACGTCTGAACGCAATTAAAGTTATTACGTCACTGAAATATAACTTAAATGGTCATATTTAGTCTTTAAAATTGAGATTAAGATATTGTTGTATTGTAAAGTAGGCCTGTTTCAAATTACGGAATAGTTTCAATTTTTATTCAAAAGCATTGATGTTAAAATATGAAGTTTAAATAGTACTAAATATTATATAGGGCCTATGTATTTAGATTTTGGTGTGAGATCACGATTTTTGTAGGCAGATTAATTTGTTTAAACTGAAGGATGATAAAATATGAAAAATGCACGTAGCCTGAAAGCACACAATATGCGCCTATATCTTTCGTCTAATTTTATACGGAAATCTATTTACAAGGTCTACCCCGTTGACAAAAAATATGCTAATTAAATATGAACAAAGAATCCTACAGAACAATGGCGAAGATTTTACGATTTAATGGACATCCTAAGACAAGTTTTATTATTAAAAATAATAATTAATAGACGATTTCGCCTTCAACGGTGTGCTCGGTGTAAATTTCCTAAATCTATCTGTAAATAAGTCTACGCACGTTTTTTGTACAAAAAGTTTTTATGTCATTCTTAATTTATATTTAAAAAAATATACATTCTGATTTCCTTAATTTATTATCTGTAATCTATCAAATTGAATAAATTAAATTTAATTTCAGTTGTTAAGCACACAGCTCCAAATACTTGTATGAATATTAAAAATTGTACTTCAAATTATGTTCCTTTAAATAAGCAGCTAACATAAAGGTGCCATTTTTATTTTTCTATTATTATTATTATTATTATTATTATTATTAACAAGCCTGTTTGTGGCAGATGCTATTTTTATTTTACGTAACCATTTTTTTTTGTTATATATATATTAAATAAGAATCACATCATTTTACATATTATATGCATCAAATATTATGGAGAAAAATATTTGTTAGTTTTATTTGAAAACTTAGATTTTAATTTAGTACATAAGTTTGTGTAAAAATCTTTTATTTTAATTAGATCGATTTCTAAAACTATAACGGGAACTTATTCTCAGTTTTTAAGACCCGTGTTTTCGTTATTTTTTGAATGCGTTGATGGTTCACTGATCCTTACGGTATTTACTCGGTTGACTTCTGAGTAGTGTTTTAAAATAGATTTGGATTTATCAATTTATAAGTTCCAAGTTTACCTATAAACAAGGTATTTGTTCCTGTCGTGGGGAACTCAATGTCATAGCATATAAATCTCTACATTATTTTTGTTTAAATAACATCACTTAAACCTGCAGTCAATGTTTTAACCTTAATATAATTAATATGATGATCGAAATATTTCTTACCTGACGAAGGCCTGTCCGAATATCTGGTGCAATACACCCACGCTGGCCATAGCATAGGCTGCGACGAAGGCGTACAGCTCGCTTGAGAACTATCCGAATCGGAGCTTAGGCACTGGTCAGCACTTTCTCCGCGGGATTTCATACGGTGGTCGCGGGCAATTTCGGGTTTCTTGGTCCCGTTGACTGAAGGGCTGGAGGTTCCTTCCTCTGCCACCGTCCCTCCTACCTGCCCCGTTCCAGCGACCGAAAGACTACGGTTCTCTCTGCCGCCAAGGTTCCTGTCCTCTCTGTTAAAGATTCCCTCTTTTCTGCGGCCGAAGTCCGGTCGTAAAATATTATCGATGAAAAAGTTCGTTATTCGGTGTGGAAGGGGGTTTCCTGGCGCTTGCAAAAGCGGAATAATTGCTCTGTTTGACTCGTCACTTGATTCCTGACGCTCCGCATCTCTGTTGCTATGATCATTTTCTTCCATTCTGATCCGTTCCCAATATTCGTACTTTAACCCCTTTCTCACTCCAGACAGAAGTAGATAAATTCCAGCTTCACGGATCTTCTGCCGCCCCCCAACTCAAAACTGTTATTCAGTTAATTTAAATTAATTTTCAAAAAAATCCTTAAGTATGCGACGTTTAATTTAAACACAAAGAACCCCTTTCTTTTTCTGCAGACAAAGAAAAGTCATAGTTTTGTTCTATAATTCCAAACGGATCTATCCTTTATATCTTTGCTTAATAAATATCATTTGGGGAGCTGAATTGTTGAGATCCTGAATTGCTGAGTTGGTCCGGCAGGGCTGCTTCAATTATTTCACTACAGATAAATAAAGATGCGCTAACTGATTCTGAAATACTTTCACTCCGGATTTTTGTTCTTATTTTTAATACGAGTCCCCCGGGTGACGTCGCAGTCCGATAACCTAGACACGTGCCTGCGACCAATAGAATGAGGGAAAATGTATCACGTGCTTCTGTGACTCTGGAGTAAGTGACAGCACTCAACCTCGCCTGTTCTACTCCTCTTCCCTCCCCACTACCCCAATTTTTTAAAGCTGTATTGCGCTTCCAAAACCACGACGAGAAAATAAGTATGCAGCCAATATTCTCAGCTATAAACACCCGCCATACACGATTAGAATATTTGCTTCAAAGAATTCGAAGAATGTTAAAGAATACAAATAGGAATGCCTTACTTCTCCGATTTTTCGTTGGTTATTTTGATGTTGGCATCGTCTGGAGGGAGGGGGTTTAAGAATATTAAGCGGTTTTTTTTGTATACACTTGGGTTGTGACAAAACTTATTTTGAGCTGCAGCGTTTGTCAGACTGACAGGCCGTGCTGTTAGTCCGATTACAAGCACAGGAACATATCTAACAGCCATGAAACAGACATGGGCTGAAAATGGTGACTTGACGGTGGAAGACGCTAACACGCTACGAGACTTGCTAGGAAAAAAAACGAGGACTGATCTTCTTTGACAGTTTTGATATAGACTGGATGGGGCTACTTTAATGTAAACAGAACGGTTAACGTTTGATTTCATCAAACATCAAACACATTGACCGGTGTGGATCATCGTGGGGCATCAACTAGTCTGTGCAAGTAGCTGGCTGTCTAATTCAATAACCACGCAAGGTTGCCTCAAAAGGCATGAGTTTTGGATTGAGCTTTTGTCAGATAAGCAAATTCAGATTCATTCGACCGTACCTTCTCCATCGTCTCCTTAATTGACCGCTGAAAGTCATTCCAAGTGCAGGCGGAATGCTTGCCTGACGCGGATGGAAATGCGAGGTCACCGTAGACAAGATGCGAGTAGCGCTTTAAAAAAAGCTCAATGATGCACATTCCACGTAGCACCAAAGACGATCCAGACCTGGGGATAATATTTCACCCCTCTGCAACAAACTGAGAAATGCGTTAGCTAGTTAAGCGGCACGGTTTCAGCAGCGGTTTTTGCTTCTCCCCAACACAGCATGAATTCACTTTCAGAAATATTGTTTTTGGCCAGCGGATGACTGTGATTTTATAGGTCGGGGTCGGTAATGCCTGCAGGACTCGGATTCTGGCACCGCGCGAACGTTTTACGGTGATATTGTTTATTACTAGGCTGTAGTGAGGGATGCCGGTAGTCTCTATAAGCAATCTCATTTGAACTCTCACTAGACTCACGCGGACTATGGTTTGTGGTCTTAGCCAAAGTAGGAGGCCATGCTTCCAAAAATACAATGTCTTCAAAAATTCAATGTATGACAAGCGTCTGAAAAGCAGTTATGTTATAGGCCGTTACGTTATATTATTCGCGTTCCGTCTATTTAAGAGGCTATGACCTGTCATGGGGTGATATTTGAATTGTTAATGTCCAGTGGCGGGCTGAAATACGCTTGTCGTAAATGCAGTGACGCTGGCTTTAAATGATAAATAAATTCGATGCCTTTTATAGGTATAAGGACAATAATGACTGTATTCCTATTACTTGAAATTTTGCTTAGAATCACCTTAACCAAACAGTTTATTTGAAACCATTATGAAACAAAAAAATGAGTAACATAATCAATTAATGCTTAAAAAATTACTTTCTGGGCTTCAGCCGTTAATTAGGATGCTAATAATATATACCAAAAAAAAAAGGAAAGGGAAGCCTTCCTTAGATATAAATATGCAAGCTTTTCTAATCAGCATTAAGTTGATGGTGGTCGTTGGTTCGCACCGCAACTGTGTGCAAAGTCTACAGCCCCATTCCCGTTCCGAGCGGATGAGGCAAAAGCCGGACCAAATAAATATAATTACGTGGCCTCATCGTTTTTTTCCCCTCACCTGCCGAGATCCTCCGTGTTTTGAGCGGTGGACGAAAGCAGGGGAGCTTTTGTTACAGAAGTGTTTTAACCCTTCTTCCTCTAAGGTTAAATACAAGCGAAATCTCCGATCGGTAATATCGACGTAAGTCTTGCATATTAATACCAACAATAGTTATAAACCATGTATATACTAACGCTTATTACTGAATGCTATATGAATAACAGTTAGTTAATGTTAATAATCTTAATAATGTTAATAATATTGATAATTGTTTATTAATTGTGAGCAGGTGACGTTGTTACTGTTACTCTAACTATAGGCCGTATATAAATTATACATATTGTGTGATCCTCAAACTCATTAAACGTACTTGCCAGATATTCCTTACTAAGTTATTTGGTTTTTATTTAAAACGATTTTTACTTTAAATATAATTGCTTAATTTTCCATTTATGAGCAATGAATAATAAAACAATCTATGTTCACACGTTCTTAAGCATATTTCTTTGTCGTCGTTTTACAAGTTTGCCATCGCGTTTACTTAAATTACTGCAATATTTATTTAACAAGATAGTTTAGAATAGCCGACCTGAAACCAAAAGGTAAGGAAATACCATTGTTTTCTTTGTTTTTTAATTTATGAATTTATATAGCGAAGACTATTTTGTATTTGTGTTCGCCCTTTCTGGAAAACAAGGTTTGCATTTTCCCTAATAACGCGGACCATCAATCTGTATCTTTTGATGGCGTCCGGTGGAATTAGTCTTATGTTCGTCGTCCTTTGCATGACCCACACATACCAGATAACGATGAGCGCATTTTACGTTTATACGTATACATACTTGACGTGGTTTATATTCGCAGTTACGCCATCTCTCCGTCATTGATGAATTCCAGTTATATTTTAGTTATATACTGTAGGTATTTATACCATGAATACTACTTTATACCTTATTATAATACACTGGCCTCTCAAAAAACGCAATCAGTGAAATTAAATTAAATATATAACTGGCCCGGTTTGATTTCAGGTCTGGCTTTGAGTTCCCTTTCGGTATAACCTAAGTTCCTTGATATTTTGCCTTAGACTGACCTATTAGCAAAATGGCTGCTTGTGAAAAACATCACGAACCTGTTTACATTTGATTAGTGCGCCATTAAAAACCAGTCGCGTGGCGGCATCGTGATCAAGCACTTTCTTAATTATCGCGACCCTTAGAGGAAATTAACTTTATCTCCATAAAGCAAAACTTTTTTTTTTCTTTTTCAGGTGACTGATGGCCACTAAATGTCCTAAACGTGGCACAAAACAAGACACGGTGTTTGTGATTTTTTTTTTCCACATCGACTTCTGTCAAGTACTGTGGATGACTTAAAGGCTGGAACATTAAAGGACAGGCCTACTGCACAACTGCTCAGTCGATTACAGAGTCGGTTTGGTCAACATCTATCAGTATCAATATCAATATCAATATCCGAAACCGTTAATCCCCTCAGACAAAACAAATTATAGTGACGGAGAATATGCACCTGCCAGCGAACCTCGTGGTGCCGACAAAGGAAACTGGATATTTCCCTCTAAAGGACTTTTAATTTCTCCAAATTCCTAGGGATTTACACCCTATAAGCCCCTAGTCTCCGATAACCGACTTTCAACGGCCAGTGTAGATATTTTTTATTTTGCTTTTAATGAAATAAATCGTTACACGTTGCAGTGTTTCCGGTAGCCAAAAGAGAGGCGCCCACCTTTTAATAAAAGCAAATTAAACCCATTAGTTACGGACAATCGGGTACAGACTAAAGATTACATAGGCATTCAGCAAAGTATCACAGTCGAAAGTGCAATGCACGAAATACAGCAAACCTATGAAGTATATGTATTAGTATCTATTGATGTTAAAGAGTTCAGAATTTCTGGAAAAAAAAAAATACATCAAGCCATCTTTTAACCGCTTATCCTGGTCACGGTGGCGGGGGTCCGCAGCCAAGGCCAGTTAACACAGGGCACAAGAGATTGGCGCTACCTGGACGGGATAAATATTAAAAATATGTTAATTTCAAACATTTCTGTGAGTTAGCACTTCACGCTTTTGATGACTAACAATCCACCAACAGAATGAAATACGTGCGATTGCAAGGAACACGCATAACAATACTGATGCTGATTACAAATACATGCTGCTAATTTCTTGAATATATACCTCTTTCCATCTCTATGTTTCATATGACATGTTTTAGCTCATTACGGTCTAGCACTCCCAATAGGTTGCATAATAATCACACAACAAAATTAAATTAAAATAGCCACACGTGCGTTGTGTAAATGCGAAGGATATGGCACATATATTTTCATCCCATTAAACATTCGGCGTTAATTGCGTAATATGCTTACACATTTTAGTTAAGGTTTGATGCTGTCAGACGCGCTGAGCTATGGTTAGTTCGACGCGAACGCGCACGATGACAGTTGTTCCCGCCAACATATCAAACCCTTCGCTCTAGGTTTTTAAGGTTGGCTGGTATCCAGGCCTGGTGCTTGTGCGGTGCCTCCTCCCGGCTCCTCTCAGTGCTCCAATTCTGATTTACACGATCCCCCGCAAGACACTTCTACGTTGCTCTGCTGTGCTTCCTTAATCACAATCACTACCACAAACTGACATTCTTGTGCCTTTAAGCACTAATCCCGCTTGCTATTTGTCTCCGTTATGATATGTAACGTGCCTTATATAACATCATGTAATTAGCTTAATTGTTGTGTTGCTTTTCTACGTGATTGTGTAACAAAATAAGACGCTGAAATATCGATTGTCTTTTGTTAGTTACAATCAAGTGAATGCCGCTATTTTATATTGCATAATATACGAGTAAACTGGCATTGTGTTTTCCTCAGGTGCACCTTTGGTCACATACGGCGAGTTTCAGATCTTTTCTGGAATACCGTTCCTTCCTGGAATTCCTTGCTTCTGTTCACGTATAGGCCTATTTTTAACATTAAAGTGCCGAGGTAGCCTACCTTTCTTTGCCAGAAGTTACACTATACGGCGATTTAAAAGGAATGGTGAATTTCTGTGCTTTTGATACCCAGTCACTCTTTAAAGGATGTCCAGGTCTTCAAACAGCTTTAGTTTTAAGAGTTGCCACGAGAAAAAAAAAAAAGGTTACGCTCTGAAGAGGATTTGTGAATGAACCGCGCGCCTTTCGCCAGCTCGCAGATCAGAGCAGAGGTCCCCACACGGATACGGCCCAATGAATAGTGGTAATATCTGCTTTATTACAATGCAGGGGTCATTCGAAATCTGCCAGCTTCCTGTAGGCCTTTGAAAAAATGAAGACCTACACTGAGACTATACAAACGGGAATAAAGGTCATCTACCGCTTCCGCTTTTTGTCCCATATACGACGTTATGCGCACATTCCCAAAAAATAATTTGCTTGTAATTAAAAAAGGTAGTCTATGCGTCATCGTTTAGCGTAGCCTCTTCTGATTAGCCCCAAGTAATCTAGAAATACTAAACTGAAAGTTTGGAGAAAAAAAAGCCTACTTTGAAGTACACGGAATAAATTACTTGTTTCCGCACAAGGGAACACAGGAAATATCTTCAAAAATTTCTTTAGGCTACAGGAACTATGGAGAAATGACTAACCGATTTGTGCTTAAATGTCATACATTTTTGTCACAATTCTTTAGACTTTAATCCTGTTAATATGGTAAACTTTACAGTAAAATTAAATCCCCTGATTTCGTTCAAAGGGCCAAGAACCGCTGCTTTAAGATATTTTGTTCCCTAATCTCTTAATGAAATGTTAATAATGACAGTATCGATTTCCAACGCCTTAACCTGGCCTTTTGTTTCTTCACGTTTACTTTGAAGATGCAAATGAGGCACGCCGGCCTTCTCCTCGCCAGAGTGGACGCTTTGAAGAATGTGAGGAGAAGATCATTTATTGGTTTTAATTACTCTTTAATCCTACTGATCGTCCTGGCGGAGATAAATCCCATCTGAATGGCGCTTTTCTCAAAAGCGGGATTGTGCTATAGAACGTCTAATCGAGCTTTTTGCGGCGCTGTTTTACACGCTGTTGTAAACCGCGCAGCCAGTTAAGGGTCCTCAGATAAAACAGGACTAATTTAATACGCCCCAGCCTTTGGTCACCCCGTTTAGTTAAACGGCTTTATTTTCAGTCCAAAAAGAGTTAGGCCATTTCTCTGACTTTCAAATTGTTTTATTAGGGTACCGTGCCCCAAGACAATAGAGCTGTAAACAGTTTAGGCTAATTTTAAACAAACACACAATAAACATTTATTCCAGCATTCCGCATAGCAATAATGTAAGCGGCACATATAGCATAATATTACATTCGCCTATTTCAAAGCACGTCAATGACACCACAGAAGGCAGAAGTGCTGAGCTAAGGTATATTTAATGCCATAGTCTGCCTGGAACAAGGATATTGTTTCACATTGTGTGCAATCGTTTTTATTGGACAAATAGGACTATAGTTGAGTATGCATTAATAAATATAAGGATATCACGGCAAAATCAAGTTAAATAATTGTGACATTTAAAACGACCTAAGGCACATTTATTTAACAACACTCTTTAATTATCTTGTTGTTATGTTGCGTCAAGTGCGACAGTATAAAGTAAAGATAGTTTACTTTAAATATTTTATGTAAATAAGTTTACTTAATATGAAATATTTTTTCATTCATATTAATATACAAAACGTAATGCATAAAATTGGTTGCTTTTCATTAAGTAACAAATATAATTTAACAACGTGCAAATTTATAAGCCACTGTGATCTAGGCTATATTATTATTATTTTTAATAGGCCTATGTACTTTTTCCCAGACGAAGACTTATTATAATTATTAACTAAAGTTAAAATCCAAACACGTTTACCGTCAAATTCTTTAGGTTACTAAACTATATACTTTTAAGAGGGCGGTTGAACTTTTTGAGTGGAAGAATATAAAAACGGAATTTCAGGCGACTTTCATGCTCCATAACTAGCCCGTGATTGGACAAAGCTAATAGCTAAATGTATCGATATTACAAAACAACAATATGTGTATTAATTTTGCTTTGTTACCTTTCAGTAATGCGTGAAAGACCAGTAGTTTTATCTGTATTGAGTGGACAGACTTGTCTAGAAAGAGAAAAACTATAGTAATTTTGACTTCAAAATTGAGATCGATCCAAAATCGAACCAGTCACGTGTGCCCCACGCAAACCGATTTCGCTGCATTGTCTGTGAGCAGAAATATATTGTCGGCTTTTTGTCCATTGGCTGCATTCTCAGAACCAGGTGTGAAAACTGGAGTAAGTTAGGGCTAGCCAAGTTAAGGTTGCCCTTTTCTGTGTATCCTAGGCCCACCTTCATGCTTCATTGAACAGTGGGCGCTTTCTTTAATTAAAAAGAGATATTTCAGCCAAAGTCAAGAAGGTTTCCCGATATTTTTCAGATGTTCTTTGCATGCAAGAGTGAGGTTAGCATTTTTTTTTCCATAACTGATACTTCACCTTTCAGCCAAACCACTCAGTGCACCTTTATTTTCTTGGCACGGACATCACGTGCAGACGTTTGTCGACATTCTAAATGGATTAGTCACTGTTTTATCGAAGAAGTTGGCGAAGCGTTGTGCGGTCGGTTTTCTTTCTATCA